TGTCTAATGTATACTGTTAAAGTTAAAAATATTAAATTAGTAAAAAAATTACTAAATTAGTAGATTTAATTGTATTTATTTTTAAAACTCTAATTGATCCTATATGATTTTCATTTAGATTTAAATATTTGAATTTATTTGGCTAACATTTCACTATTATATAAGTAAAAGTATTATAATTTTTTTCAATTTTTGTTATATATTTATAAATAATTGTGTCATTATTATAATATTTAAATATAATAAATATTTATTACGTCATCCGGTTCGATCCCGGTCGAACCATCAAACCTCTAACCCCTCCTTCTTCCGGTTCATTGACCGGTCCGGTTTTAAAAGCCTTGATCGAGATATTGTCCACTTTGGCCTAAGGGTCTCACGATTTTGTCCTGTTGGTGTAAATTCCCAGGAGGTCACCCATCCCATAATTTCTTAATAAAATTGTGGGGTTTCTTAATAAAATTACAATAATTATATCAAAAAATATCTTGATGTTTAATAGCTTAGCTTCTTTTCACTTAAGTGATTTCACAATCTTCTCTATTTAAGTAATTGACATCATCATTAATATCTTTATCCCAGAATCATCCACAAGCAGATATGACTATAGAGCTAGCCTGTACAAGTTTGAGTGATGACTCTTGTCACGTAGCACTTTATCTTATACAGGATTCAATAGGTGGCTCCCATGGCATAGCACTTTATTTTGTATGTCACTTAATTCTCATCTTCCGGTTTGTGTATTGCTCGGATATCATTTATAATAGTACAAACTCTTAACTATCGAGACATTATCTGTTTTGGCCTAATGGCCTTACGATTTTGTCCTGTTGTTATAATTTTCTAGGAGATCACCCATCTCAGTATTTCTCTAGGATGAGAACGCTTAACTGTGAAATTTTTTAAATGAAATTCTTACCATTACACCAATAGGTGCCTCGATGATTAAAAGTTTAGCTTCTTTTACTTAAGAGGTTTCACATTCATTGAGACTATTAAACACTATTTCATTAATAGATCATATTTGTAAAGAAGATGTTGATATTGAATTTGTTAGTGCTTGCTCATTAAGGAAAGTAAATTGACTGTTAAGGATTATTCATATTTAGGAGAAAGTTTATAAGAAAAATTCAAGTTTGTAGAAATTCTAATTCAAATGTTGGCTTGAAAGTATGTCGGTTAGAGGCCAAACCAAGTAAACATATTCTTATGTTGTTTCTTTGCAGTTTATTTATTTATTTTTTCATACTCATGTTATTGCTTATTAAAGTTAGGCTGACTTAATCATTAGTTTAAACTATTCAAATTTATTCAAAAATATAAATTCACCCTAACTTCTTGAGTTTCATATTACTCAATAATATGAAAGATCCAACACCCAAATTAGGCATTATAATATTATTTATCATTAATTTATTATGACTACTAATTAATTTCTTTTTTAGCAATAGCCTAGAACAAGCACATCCCTCTTACCCACGGAAAATTATTGCGTCCGGTCACCTGACATGCGGACATCCAATCCGGACATGCCACCTCACCCAGATGATCTGGGCCCCGATTTTTTTGAATGACGTGACGCGTTTTATTGGTGTCAGGACGAATCCGGACACCGAACACAATAATTTGCCCTTCCCCACAACCACCCATTGCTCTAACACCTCTAATTGGAAGTAGAGTTGTTAGAAAAATCACATTGTTCATATTCAATCATATTCAATAAATTTTTATAAACTTACTTATTTCGTTTTTATTTATTTGAGCTTGATTATACTAGGCTTGTTTATAGTCCTAATAAGAACTTAACAAGTGGACACAAGAGATATTTTTGTTATTACTTAAATTTTTGAGAGTTATTTGAGTGAATTAAAAAGTTTATATGTTAAATATATAAATAGAAAAAAAAAAATTATGACCATTTTGATCTGATTGGGAGTTAAAATGATCACAATTTTCTTAGACTCGAATTCAACCTGTTTATAATATGGGTCAAAATAGATGACTCGAATCTGCATAACTTAAATTCAACCTGTTTGATTATAATTAATACGACTCGTATAATCCAAATAAAATCAATTTAACCTAAAAATGATGTGTTCAACGCAAACCTTAATGATAATTAGGTTAAAAATACAAACTAAAAAATAAAAAATTAAATAAAAAAATAAACTTAATGATAATTCTGTGAATTTTAAATTTTTGAGAAGTTTGAAGCACGAATAATAACCATGTCACTTCGACCTCAAAATTTTAGAGCCAATTATTGTATTGAATAATTTTTTATACCCTAATTTATATAAATCAATCTATTTTTTAAGTAATAATTATTTTTTCCCCTAAAAACAAACTAACTGAATTTGCAAAATTCTTAAATATTTTTTCCTTAATTAACCGCAATTAACTTCCATAAACAATCAAATATTTCTCCACATTAACTTTGAAATTTTCCACATTAACTTTGATATTTTCTACGGTAAGTTTATTAATTAAATCAATGGCGGTAACGTTACCGATAGTGGGTTTTCCTCTGCACTTCCGTCCATTTTCCGGCCTGTTCTAGGGTTTCGATCTAAAGGCTCTAGGGTTTTCTGAAAATTGTCTTCTGGTGTCATCCTTCGCCTCCTCTCAGACTAGCTTGCCCGGTTTGATGGAGCTGTCGGAGATCTCCGGGGCGGCCATAGCAAAGCGGCTCGCTTCCTGCAAGCAATCATCCCGCAATCGCGCTGTTCGTCTCCTTTGCGCATGGCTTCCCCGCAGTCACGGAGATCCTTCCGCCGCCGGCGTGTCGGACCCCGATCTCATAAAGATCTGGAAGGGCCTCTTCTTCTGCGTGTGGCACTCAGACAAGCTCGAAAACCAGGTTGAGCTCATCAATCGCCTCGCCAATCTGCTCTCATCCCTTCCTTCTCAGCTGGCTGGTCGCTATCTCGAGTCTTTTCTGATTACGATCCGGCGCGAGTGGTCCGGCATCGACTTCCTACGCCTTGATAAGTTCTATCTACTCATCCGCAGATTTCTCCGCCATTTTTTCGTTTCCCTCAGGAACAATACTTGGAATCTCGACCTCACCGCTCGGATGGTAAACATACTCTCGCAGGGATCCCTGCTTTCCGTCGACAAGTTCCCTGCTGCCGGCGTGAATTACCATATTGCCGAGATTTTTCTTGACGAGATTGCGGAATTTCTCCCGCTCGCCAAGGAAACTCTAGATTTGTTGCTGAACCCTTTCATCTCAGTTCTGCAGACTACAACCGATAAGGTTTTAGTGAACAAGATTAAAGTCAACATCTTCGATCGCTTGGCATTGCATGGTTCAAATCTCTTAACTGATGTGGGAGCGGCTGGTGACAATGAGAAATTTGGAAAGATAGCCCTGGCAATGGGATTTTCAAAGACATTCTTTAGCTTGGCTTCTGCTGCTGAGACACAGCAGGGCAATAGGAAAATTTTGTTTGGTTTACATGATAGATATCTCAAATTAGATAAGGAGCTTGAGAAATCGGGTATTGATATCTCCTTGAAAGAATTGGATAATGGTAGCTCGGTGCCAGAATGTGCATGCGATATGGAAACTACTGAGGTCTTTTCCACTGACAGTTGCAGCGATAATGGTACGATTAAGAAGAAGAAGATGAAGGCCAAAAAACCATTAGATGGAACTGGGGCAAATAGTAAGATCAAGATCAAGAAGAAGAAGAAGAAGTCTTTGGATTCTTCCATTGAAAATAATGCTATAGACCCTGGAAGTATGAGCAAGAGCAAGAAGCAGAAGAAGAAGCTGACAGATTTGTCTGCTGAAGACAATGGTGCAGAAGCAACAATAAGAGATTCCAGAGCAATTGACAGCTATGAAAATGGTAATTTGGATTCCTCTGATAGCAATGATATGATTAGATTTGATCATACTTTACTTTCCAATCTTCAGAAGCAGTTTGAGAGAGTGGCTGCTGAGGCTGGCATGGCTAGTGTTAGCAGTGCTAAACTGTCAAAAAAGAGGAAGCGGGCAAAGAACACTGACAATAAGCAGGTATTTGAAAACTCTGAAAATGCTCATGGGGGGAGTAAAACTGATAGAAATGCCAAGATGAACGTTAAGAAAGTCAGTTTCTCCATGAATAAAAATTTGATCTGGAAGCCTCAAAATCCATTACCTCCTCAAAACTTGAGGCTTCCTCCTTCAGTTACCCCTAGAGGTAGTGCATTGAAGAAAGGATTATCTCCTGGTCCCATTAGAGAAAGCCCTCCAACAGTAAGGAAGATTAAGGTTAAGGGAAGCTCTATGAAGAAGGGTAAAAAGACTTTGAAGACGGTTTCACCAGCTGTTAAGCGTTTCCGGCTGTTGCAAGGCCTTTCGGCTTAACCAATGAAACTATGGTGATATTATTTTCATGCTTGTGAGCTTGTATTTCTTAGCAACATTATATGATGTTAGATTAGCCTTTGATTTGTTTGACATGACGCTTTTTAAATTCATTTGAATTGCACTAGAGAGAAGTGTGCTTCAAGAACTGTTATATGGAATATGTCATTTGAAACTTCATGTTATGTTAATCCTTCTTTAGCTTCTTTCTATGTGTTCTCTCTTACAGATTATATATCTCTGAATAGATCACTCTGCTCTGTTTAGTAGTTTACTCCTGCCATAAATGCTTTTTGATTTCTTTAATGCTCCAAGTTTTTTTTGTTCCTTTTATTTTTTTTTCAGATGATATGCATGACTTATGAAATACTAGTTACAAAGTGATTTGAGGTTTACTTTCAGTAATAGTCGCTTTTTAACTTCCAATGAAGAAAATTCAAATTAGAAATGTATATTTTTCGACAATTGCTTCTTTCTTCCTATTCTACCTCGATTTCTTAGTTAATTTTAGATTTACAAGCTAAATTCTTATCTATTTACATGCTTAAACCCTAATTTCTCTTGTTTACATGCATACCACCCCTAACATAAAAAAAACCACCCTAACACTCTCCTTTGTCAGAGCATTCCACATAAAGATGCACCAAACTTATCAAACGGTTGAAATTCAAAGATCAGAACAATGGTGGTGGTTGTTGGAAAAGGGATGTGGTGGAAGATGCAAACATGTAGGTAGATAACACAGTGGAGATGAGGAGCAAGAGTGCGATGGATGCAGCCTTTGCCATGGATGTTGCTGAAGAGAGGCGGAAGCCACAACAATGGAGGTGGGGAGAGGGCAGCAGCAAGCTAAGATGATTGCAGTGGAGGTGGCGACGATGGCTAGGTTAGTGGTGGCAGAGGTGGAGGGGAAGGAAATTAAAGGCTATTTTGCCTCCTCTGACAGCTGAGGAGATCTGTCTAAAGCATTGTTCTTGGCAGTGGCATTCCAATCCTGAAGGTAGAGATCACCTTAGAATTTCTTAAAATGGCGATTTTGTGACTCATAAGGTAAATCCCAAAGACTAATTAGTGGATATGAATGTTATTAGTAATGTTTTAACTTACAATTATGCTTGGTAATTCATGGGATGAAGATTGATGCACCATTAAGCTTAAAGATCATCTGCACAAGTCATTCTCCCTCTTTCATCTCAAGTGTTTGCTTTTCCTTTGAAATTTTATTGTTTAGTTAGTTATGTTGGGATTGGTTGGATTTAAACCTAGAAGGTGGAACATTTGTGACCTAATGGGTTATGTTAGAAGTAGCAGATTTTTTTTTACTTGAAGTAGAATCATTTGGTGGCTCCATTATCCCATCAAATAGAGTTTGCAAAAGATGTCCATTATGAAGGAAAAATGGTGAAAAACAGATTGAATAATTTTCACCCTGTTGATCCGTCCTCGAATCCCCTAACCTAACCTGTAAAAAAAAAAAAAAAAAAAATGATGAAAAACTTGAAGATGACTAAAAAAGGGGATGACTTGAGGTGAGAGGATCACTATAAATTGATTTGAATTATTTTTTTTTTTATATATTTTTCTTCATTTTACTCTATGGCTTTATTTTATTGTTAGCTGCTATGGTAACAGGCTGCACCTGTGAAATTGGGAAATTATTTCGTGCGGTCATCGGATCGTCTCGAGGCGAATCAGGATGTGTTATATCATCTGGTAGTCTGGTACGTAGTATTGATACACAGTAACAAAGTGATATGATGCATTCTGAATCGCATCATGATGTCCAATAACCACACAATAATTTTCACTGAAAACCGGATTGAGCTATTTACCTTTCAACTACTATATTAACTATGTAGTCATCTAATGGTTTCCTGCTGCTAAAAGCTGCATCATGAAGCTGATAGCGGCTTGAAGTGCGTTGATGAAGATGATGATACATTCTTCAATCATAGAAAAGAATAAATTATGTATAAATATTAAATAATTTAAATTAAGTCATCTATTATTTTATATTGATAATTATATACTTAGTTAACATTAATTTTATTTTTTTTATTTTGTTTTATGTTTAAAGGATTTTTTAATAGAATTTATTTTAATTTTATAAAAAAATTAATTCTTTTTTCAAATTTAAACCAACAACTTGTAATACTATGTAATTTAAATATATTTTTATTATAAAAAATTAAAATAAATTTATTATTATATTAATTTATTTAATATTTTTAAATTTATGCAATTGATTTACATATATAATATTATAGTATTATATTTAATTTATGCATTTATTCTATATATTTAATAATAAAAAGTATTTATCATAAATTTTTTGGTATAAATTCATCATAACATATACTCTTAGGGGTATCAATAAATGATTTGATTGGTTAGACCCATAATTTCTTGTTTGAGTTGCCCAAAATATTTAAATGTTTTTTTAATATTTTTATTTGCAAAATATATTTTTTATATACGCTCCTTTAAAATTTTAACTTTTACAGTTTTACATGTTAAATTTTCATTATTTGCAAATAGCATCCAATTATATGAAAATATGAAAAAAAATAGAAGAATAAAAATCTCTAATACTATTGTAAAATATACTTGATTACTGACAAATTATATGAATTAAGCTCACCCCATAAACCCTTATTTATATTGGATAACTGCGTATTTGAATAATGTAGATATTTGTAATTTTTTTTTAAATCTGAAAATTAGGTTAGAAAAAATATACACATAATATTCCTTTTTTTTATAATTAGAAAATGGAGTTTGGTTGAAGACGAGTTATTTTATTTTAGAAAATTACTGTATTTTGACGTGAAAATTGAGTTTTTTGGTTAGAGATGACCTTAAGTAGAAAAAAAATTTTAAATGTTTTTGCAATTATGCTAAGTCCAAATCCCTTTTACAAATTTAATTTAAATTTAAAATAAATAAATTTCCTTAAAATTTAATAAGCTTAATGAAAATGAATAGAGAATGAAAATTTATATAAGAAAATCTAAAATAATTGTAATAAAATATGATGATGATTATATGTGTAATTTACATGAGCAAATCAGTCATAAAGTTATCTAATCTAAGCAGGTATCGGTTCAAAGTACCATTCAAGTAATTCTTGCTTGTACTCTGCAACTACTTTGACGAGTCAAATAAACCGTTTAGTTCTAATAGTTATTAACACAAGCAGTCTATATTTCTTTGTTAAAAGAGGTTGACTAAAGGTTTATTTGAAATAATTTTTTATCGTTTTTTGAAGTAGATTTTTGATACAAAATTTTTAATCTAAGAAATTTTTGTACTAAAAAGCAATTTTAAAATGCAGTAAGAAAGGTGCCTCAAATGATGACATTTTTCTTATTGTTTTTTTAAAACAACTTTTATTTCAGTTTACTTTGCTCTAATCTGAGTGTTTTTTTAAGAAAATTAATCTATAGTAATATAGTGGTAGTAGGGGTGTCAATTTCGGGTCACGGGTCGGGTTCGGGTCAGACTCGGAACTAACCCGGGTTCAAACGGGTTAGGCCGGATAGGTAAATTGGTTGGAAATGCAAACCCGAACCGACCCGGCGGGTTGCCGGGTTGACCCGACCTGACCCGGGAAGGCTTGTGCGCGCGGGGCAGGTTCGCGCCGGGTAGGTTCGCGAGGGGCGCACGGGGCGAGCGGTGCGCGCGGTGCTACACGGGCGAGGTCGCGGGCGAGCGAGGCTGTAATTTAAGTGATCTCAAAAAAATGGACACCAATAAATTAAAAAAAAACAAAAAACCATCATATAATTTAACAACACAAACCACCATAAAAGGGAATTTGTTCGTGTGAAGTGAAACCACATGATGGAGGTAGTTGAGCATCATTTTGTTGATCATGCTTTCTTATTTTGTGGAATGGTAAAGAATGTGGAGTTTACTACTTCGAATCTTGGAAACTTATCTCCTTGGTTATCCTTCGCATGCATATTACTTCATTAATCATGCATTGAAGCTAATATTTGTATTGTGTGGAGAATTCACACTTATGCATGCATATTTGGCTACCAAGCATGCTTTTGGGGCTAACCTAGACCTTGATATGACTAATGCACATAACATTTTGACTCACTACTAACCTATTTAGTAATGTTTAATATTACAACACAAATTAGAAATAAAATATTACCACAAAATGGAAATACATGAGATGATTACAAAGATAATTAAAATAGGCCAAAGTTTTAAAATTGCAACATCCATGGTGTCTTGAATTTTTTCACGTTTACTTTAAACGCTTATCTCGTGTAGTGATAATTAAAAATGAAGTAAAAATAAAATGGTTATATATATTGTGTTAGCTCGGCAGCCGACATGCGCAAGCTGTGTAAAACTTGAGTTGGAGTTCATATGTTATATGAGCTTAAATTTATGCTCGATAAGCTTGACTAATGAGCTCATCAGTGAGTTGAGTTCAAGCTAACTTAGCTCACATACACCCATATATCTGATCACAATTGTTTGACCATCTCTATCAAACCACTGTCATTAAATTGTTGTCACAAAAACAATGATGTTTGACCATCATTGTCAGACCATCACCCTTTGAATATCATCGCCTGAGTATAATCGTTCAACTACCATTGCACGACTGTTGTCCACTAAAGAACAACACCTTATTATAATTTGATCATCATTTATTGATTATGATTTCCCAATCACCATGGCAAGAGACTAGTCTTGTGTCCACTATCAACTAACTACAATTTTGTAACCACCATCAATCATTATGAGCCTCCGACCAAAAATGCCCATTTATAGTCATTAGACCACCATCGATAACAACCTGAAAATTTGTTAAAGTATTTTAAAATAAAAAAATTATAAATTTTGTTTGAACTGGAGAACTACTGCTCTGTGCTTGAGAGTGCAACAGTGCTAAAAATTATTATTGCGATGTTAGAGGTTTTTTGTAAGGTAATTCTTGATTTAGCATGCAGTGTAGCGATGCTTGATCATGGCACCGCGATGTTGAGCACTGAAATGAGTTTTTACACATATTTATCTCTCCACTCACTCCCTCCCTCACCTCCGGTGATGGTTTGCCATGCTTTAACTTGGAAGGAAAGAAGAGAAGGGAAAGGAAGGAGGAGATATGAAAGAGAAAGCTAGATTTTTTGTCGTTAGTTCGCTTCATCGCTTTCACAATATTTCTTCAGATCGCTATATG